CACATAAGACTTGCCTAAACACTGCGCGCCTACTCTTTCGAAGAGCGTGGCTCGCCGACTGGATCCAGGCACCTAAGCATAAGATGAGACCCAAAACTTTCAGGAGTTGAAACGGCCCTGAAAAGTTACTATGCTGCATAAAATGGTCGCCGTAAGCGTGCAGGGTTTTAAACGACCACTTACTACTGTAGATTGTTATGTGCTACATTTCAAATATACAAGCCAAGCTGCGCTGCTGCTACCTATGGCATGCTATCGCAAGAAGGGCGTCGCTCATCTAATTATGGGACGTCCGTATTTCGTTGCTGCTTGGGAGTCGGTCTACAGCCCTCACAAGCTGGCGCACACAGCGACCAATAGAACTAAAAAAAGACAGGAAAAAGTCCAATAGGTATTCATGGCTCAGTAGTCCTCGACCGAATCAGGCTCGAATCTCAAGTCACCCAGATGTGGCGTTTGGTATGGCTGGTTAATGCAGGCTAACGGGCCATTCACTATCCTTCCGTTATCTCTGGGTTTTTTTAAATTCCTCTCCTGCATACCACCTGCTTCGCACGATTTTTTTGTAAAAATTGTGAATTAGGAGGCAGGTATGCTACTGCTGGGAAAACCCATCCGATGTTTCCGTCTTATACCTGCAGTAAACATCAGGGATAGAATCAATGGAAGAGTGGGAGGACGCAGAAGCTGTAGTATTTCTGTACTTACGTTGTTATGCAGCTGCATGCTGCTCAGTGACAATGTAGTCGGACAGGAAATAAAATCATTAAACCTTGAAATATTTCTCTTCGGTCACTACTTACGAGTCAACCTTTGACACTTATCAGGAAAGTTCGGGACCTCCAGCAATCAGTCTAGTTCGTTTGGCCCGCCATCTGTTATCCACCGCCTTTGTAGACATTATCTTGCCGAATTATGCACACTACTTTATGTAACTCAGTAATGCATCAGAACTTTACCAATTACAACTGTAAACAAAGTGGTTTCTTAAAGTATTAACCAATACTACTACAGGTATGTAACCGTTCAGATTTCGTTTTCATGTCCAGAATGTAGGGTTAGACCTGAGCGCTCTTGCATAGCCTATCTTCTTTCGGATAAGAATCGTTACTCAGTCGTTCGTCTGCGTCCGTTGTATTCTGGGTGTGTCCACGTTCTATAATTCCACTAGAATTCTCGATCATAGCAACATTCATTCATATAATAATATATAATAATAAATAATAAACTGTTATAGAAGCAATCATACATAACCGAAAACAATCGGGAGAAGGTGGAGCTGGAGGCTACCACCGGGGGAGGGAACACTCCGTGGAGGCCTCGCCGGAAGGGCAAGTGTT